GACGCTGCGATGACCCTCGTTTTTACAAGTCAGTTGGTCCACCTGCAACTCCACACGTACACAAATCTAAGAAACTCTTAACGAAGTGATTGTTGATGAAAATGAAAGTGATAGATAACCTTCTGACGTATTTGCATAAATAGTTCCAATATAGAGTAATACATTGGTATTACGCTCAAGCTTATATTTAGAGCCTAGAGTTTTATTCAAAACTGAAGAGTAAGAAATGTAGCATTACATAGTTATTAGGTATATTTTACAGCTATGCTATATATGTATCACTACAAAACCTACCTTCCCCGTTACCTAGCCTCACAATCGCCTCTTTACTATGTACCTATTTATAATAATAAGTCTTGTAGTAATAGTAAGTAAAGAAAAGGCGCGTTTAGATAGGAGTATGATTTATTAAATATTGAAGCAATGAATTTAAATACTTTTATTTCATCACTGTGACTTGACTGCGTGCTTCGACTTATGTTTTGAGTTGAAATAATACCCAATAACCGATAGGGAAGCAAGGTTCTCGAGTGGCAGCCTGGCCAATGTAGGTAGGACTCACAAGTTGCATAGACGATCGGTGCAAATGTGCGGAACATCCATGGATGGATGTCGATAGATCATGCTTCGTGGCAGTCTGTGGCGGAGGCACATGTTCAGCAGTAGACTGGAACAGGCCGAAATGGTGACGATGAAGTCACCGGATCGATTGCCGTTGTTTTGAATAAGGAATCGCAGTTAAATTCTCCTCTCTAATCACTCATACCTAATATTTTAGTCGTCTGTTGCAGGGGAACAGTAGTCACAATTTATTACTTGAGATTTAATAATGAAAAATTAATTAGATAATGTCGAATTCGTAGTTTCCCGGATCACATATAGTAATATTCCATAATGTTTTTGTCAGTCCATCATCTCAATAAGCGAAAATACTAAACATTTACTTCTTTCTTATTCACTAAGTCACAAATGTTTGAAAAAATGTTTAAGCGAATAATGAATACAAAATGAATATTAAAGACAAATTCTAAAACAACCTACACACGCTATTTCATAAAATATTACCAACTACGAGACAATTTCTATGACACATTGGTTAACCTGTAACTTGGAAATGCATGACTGTTACTTGAGTCATTATATCCTTTCCTTGCTTATATCAAATTACTGGTGTGAATCCTGATGTAGAATGATTACCGCTCATTAACAATTACATCCCATAAGGTGTTGCAGATGTGTTGACCTTAAAAAGTGGGACACGTTTACCTCACTCTCTAAAGTAAACGCGAACGTAACACTTCAAATTCACGCCTTCTGTCAGGCCTTAGTACTTACACGGACGAGCCTGCTCAATTGTACAAGAGCAGAAGCTGTTGCACAATTAGGCAGGCTCGTCCGTGTAGTATTATTTAAATCGTGCAGCAAAGGACCACCGTTAAGTAAATAAACAAATAGAGTCAAATCATTCAACTGTGCTATGGCCGTGCAACAGTCTTCGCTGTTGCACGAACTAGCAGGTCCATCCGGAATGTACCAAGATCTCACAAAGACCGCTGTGAAGAGGAAGTGTTACACTTCAGCGTTTCGTCTGGTGAGCGAGGTAGCCGGGGCCCACTTCATTTAAAGTGGCAACTCATTTGCAACCCTACGGGTGTTGCAAAGATCCATGGGTGATGGTTATCACTTAACATCAGGTGAACCGCCAGCTCGCTTGCCACCTTATCACTTAAAAACAACATAAAATCGGCCACATTATGGATGCGCCCTTACACTGCGCATGCGCAGCTGCGCGATGCGCCGACTACCGGTTCTACTCAACCGCCCCCCCCCCCCCCCCCCTCCGCTCCACTATCGATCGTCGGACGAAACGGAAAATTTCATAGCAGCCTTTTTATTACACAGCGCACAGATTAAAATATCGATAACCTGTTGAAATAGAGCTTTAGATGGCTTACTATGTTTTCTACCAAAAAACAATACATTAATAGTTTCTGTGTGTTTTAAATTATTGTCTCTTTTCAGTCGTCTTTTTCTTCTTGAACTTTCTTATTGTTTTTAGTTCTATTCTCCAGTACACTTTAGTCACGGGGTTAATTTGTTATAAACAGTGACATGCGTACATCGTACCTTTTTCAATAAATTGTATTATTTGCAGAAAAGTACGAGTGTTTATAAATCACCACCGTGGATTTTTAATTTAGTGCTTGTATTTCACGTGACCTTCGTTTTCCTTGATTACAATTGAATTGATAACGTTATTGCATGCATTTGAATCGACCAATATGATGTTTTTAAACTAACTCTACCGAAGTATAACATTATCTAATGTGACGGAAATTTCAATTACGTAAACTGCATGACTTTAAACAAATTATTAATAAAACCTTAACTTAGCCGTCGGGGAGCAACCATCAACGCTGGACAATAGGTCGTCATCTGATAACATAACAGACATAATATCAAATCTGAAACAGTTATACGAAAAACCGGAAATATCTGAACATCATTGCAAAAGATGGCAGTTTCTAAATTGATCTCCGATTCTTTTGTGATGTGACCTACAATGGAAGGATTTTAAGGAACTCGACTCCTTGCGGAGTGAATCAGAGCGAGAAAATCGACATACAAATTGCTTTCGAATTTGGAGACATGCGGCTGTTAATTACGAACACTTAAATGTTTTTTTTTTTAAATTTATTTGATAAAGTTCATGAAATTTTTGTGGCAATATGAAGTATCCCCTATGTTGTTTTAATTTATCTGTAGCGATCTTTCTTTTTTACTTTATTGGGTCAAGTAAAAACGAGTTTACCACAAGTAAGAAGTGTAAAATGAACACAGGTTTTCTTTCTCAAGGAATTATTTATCTACAATTATTACTTTAGTCCTGTGCATTTTTTTTTCTTTATGATATTTGTACAATTTGAACTTCTCTATGCATTTTTCTACTTTATAGGTAACTTATTACTAGGTTTTCTAATTGTCCTTCGAATGTAGCGAAGTCTTTAAGAAACCTAGATTTGGTGTTTGAATAATGCACAGCCCGCTTCGCGGTTGAAGTAGGTGCGCTGCGAAACGTGTGGCGTACAAGCGCAATTCTAAATTTAAATATCAACGTGCGAGCGGGACGGAAAATATGCTCGTGCGCATTACACAGATAATGTAAAACATGGAAGAGAACTGTTATATATATAAATCGCAAACTTAAGATTGCATTAAGTAGTTAAAGTTCACAAATGAACACTTGCAAAGTGCGGACGTGGATAATTTTTATCCTGTTCTCGGTCTTAATTATCAGCCAAAATTCATGGCACATTAATCATGGTTAAGGAAACGAATAAACAACAACATAAATCGACAACGATGGTCAAAGAAAATACTTGAAAAGAAACAGCTGGCCTGTGTAAAGACGCCAAAGCAGTGCGATTACAAAGTGAGGTCGAAAACCAAGAGCTTTTATATGATTTAGTGCGCTAACTACCAAATACTTCAACACTAACCATCAGAGGGGATGGCAGTCAAATATTAGCTAGTCAGTCTGTCGGTCTACAGCTGCGGGATTCGAACCCACGTCTTCCCGATTCGTGCCCTGACGCTAAACGGCCGATTGCAACACCGACGAAAATCTCAACGTATTTAACTACATTGCTTTTTTTGTGGCATTTTAAACAATGCTTGGCGAATCTATCGCTATGTCTAGTACACAAGCAGCATAGCAGTTTCAAATATCGAATCACAACGATAACTCAAACGAAACATGTCAATCATTGAGTTTCGTGGCAGTTTTTGGGGTGGGCATTACTACTTTAATTTGAATTAAAAAAATAAAATAAAATTGATTCAAACTTAATGCACCAGACCGGTCCAGTCGTTGCTAGATCCGTGACAAACAGACTTGTGCGCGAGCGCTCTCCCCCCCCCCCCCCCCCCCCCTCTCCCTCCCTATACGTTGCCCGCGTGCGTAAACGTGACCCCGCCATTTGAACTCGACTACGCCTCGGATTTTTTTATTTTTTTTTATCTCTTATTATTCCCATTCGACGCCGTCGATCTCGTCAAGGATGGCTATAACTGTCTAACTTGTTCAATGTGTGCATAGTGTGATGTTTGTTGAGCACTGTTGACACCGCTATTTCGTGAATGTTCCTTTTTTAGATTATTGATGTACAGTAAAAAGTGTGTTACACCTAATTCACATTTCTGCGATGAAAATTGACATGCCGAATGAAAAAACTTTTTTCAATTCACCCATTTCAACGATTAAATGAACAACTTGAATTGTCAAATGTGACATAACCACAAAATCTATGCGTTTTCAACATCTATTTTATAAATATGTCATAAAAACCATCGTATGAGAAAAATAAAAAAAATTCAAATAGACAAACCAAATTTAAAATATGTTAAGTTCGTATAATCCGCACGAAGCCAATGTAAATTATTCGCCGTTAATTGAAAGATAAAGTTTTCAAACCGGGACAAACGTAAGTTTACGCATGCTGTTTACATAAGAGCAATAATTAACTCTATATCTTCTTGTGTTGCGTATGTTTGTACTTGTCTTTTGTCTAAATCGGTGTAGTCCTCTGTTTTTTGTATACGTAAAATATAAACTTTTAAGCCACCGATCAAACTGACTAACAGTCTCTCTGAAACAAACTTTCCCACAATATTCCATTAATCATAAAGTCATTTATATAATCTCGTAATACGGTTTTATTTTGTCCACAGAATCAAAATGGAACAAATTTTTATGATAGAAGTTTTTGTTAAGAAAATTATCTTAAAAATAGAACCACCGGAAAAACGATGAATACGAATTAAAGTTGGAAGAGGAAGAACGCAGAAGGGAAGCAGAAGCTTTGGCAGCAGCTGAAGCAGCTAGCGCTAAAAAGGGAAAGGGAAAAGGTGAGAAAAAAGCGAAGAAAGGTAAAAAAGGCAAAGAACCCCCTAAACCTTCCGAAGAAGAAATGAAATTTATGCAAACTTGTACTATGCAAATGAACTGTTTACCGCTTTTTGACTTTTACGTAGCGCACGATAATTTCATTGCTCCCCCGCCGCCGGAACCGCCTGACACAGGGAAGAAAGGTAAGAAAAAGAATAAGCCAGCGAAAAAGAAGGGCAAACAAAAAGTTGTTCCGAAAAAGATTGTCCTACCTTCTGATCCTTTACCACAACCACCATACTTTGGCGTCGGCAACTCAGTTATGTTTATATCGAGACCATCGAAGCTGGAAGAAGTGTTAAGTAAAACACCCATTTACATAACTGTTTGGAACAGGGACGAGGGATTTAACTGCATAGGTTTCTGCATAGTGGAGTGGCACGAGTCTTTCTTCGAGTGCCTGAAAAGATCTGGGCAGTTGAACCCCGTGAACATGGATAAAGGTGAATTCAGAGACTCGTCCAGATCTGAAATGATAACTAATACAGTGGAACTCACTAGGAATTTGCAGTGCGAGGAAGATTTGAAGGCTTCCGGTGAGATAGACTTTTCTTTACGCTTGACGTGCCTGGGTAACAACGTGGTCAGTTACTTCGTGGCGTTGCCTGAGATGGAACGAATACCGGGACGCAAGTATTTATCCGATGACCTAAAACTCAAAGACGTAGAGGTGGTAAGACATTGGGAGGGCACAGCGATAGAGGCGGTTCCGCCTATAGCTTACTTCTTCGGAGCGCCAGACATAACCAAAGAGCCCATAAAGCCAGTCGAAGAGCCTCAGGTCTTTGAAGAATTTGTCGCACCATTCACTGCCAGCGAACTCACCATTTTGGCTATGGGCTTCCCAAAAGGGCCGTGCGGTGGCACGAACTGCCCTAAGCGAATGGACTTCAGAGGCAGCCAGCATCAGTTCATTCACGGTGAAACTGTCAAAGGTAAATATGAGCACGGTCAGTTTGTAAACAAAAGGGACGTCCATGGACCTTGCGGTAGACTGGACTGTCCTTTGGCCAAGAGAGTTCGCTCCTACCTTTGCTCTGAAGGTAGCTACAAGCCGTGTAAGAAACCATGTCCAAAAGATTATTATTAAAATATTTATCGTCCTTCAACTGCTGTATGATAATAACTGTGTTAATCAATGTTAGAATAAATCGAAATTATAAAATATTTGAAAAATTTTAGTGATTTGTATGCGTATCTATAAAATATCGTTCATATTACTATAATACTAAGATTTCATACATCGGCATTGAGTCACACTTACTGTAGTCATCCCTGCCCATTTTTATGGGGTCAATATGCTTAAATAAGTCAGCATATTGACTTCTGTTATACACACAAATATTACCACTGTAAGTGAACAACGCGTGTTATTTGGGTATTTAACATTTTTCTTCACCATTTAGTGACATGATAAAACATTTGCAGTACCTATCTAAGATTGGTACATATGTATGGTTAGCTATATAAAAACATTAAAAATGCGCTCAAATTTCAACCCAAGTAATAAGATCACAACGGTGTGGTCCGAATTCAATTAAACGGTGTTAACAAAAAAACAGGCACTGCAATGAGTGAAAACAAGATTTCCGAGAAGCGATCATCATTTGCGATATATGATTAACACAGCAGACACCGTTCCCTTGGCACAAATATCGTGTCACAGCCAACAAATCCACAGCCGTTGATATTATATACGGAATTGGACCTTAACGGGCTGGCATTATGGAACTGCGGGACGCACGAAAACGTTGCAGTTTGCGTAAAAGCAATGCAATTATTAGCAAGATTTTGATGGTCGCAATTTTAGCGTTACGCCCCTCGAGCATGAATAACCGCAATTAGGACATTAAAAGGATCCCACAGCACTCGAATGCTTATTGTTTCACATTCAATACACAAATATAGTCTTATCCGTCTCACTTTGTAACTGTATAGTGCGTAATGTGTTTACTAAAATTCACTCTTCACTCGTTACTATTAGCGGCCGTCAAAGATTTTATAAATAAGATTAACTTCTACATTGATTTCCTTCTTTAACATGTTAACTTTTCGTTGTTACGAATCTAGTAGGTACGGAGCATGTTTATGTATGTTATTTAATGACGGCCATGGGTATTATTGTATATTTATGTTCATTGTTCGTAAGTACACATTAAAAATAGTTAACGGGTCAGGTGGCAGTAAAGACCTAATACCTAATTACAACACGTGAATATTAGGAATAGAATATGGAAAATAGGTAAAGAATGATAATATAAATAGCAATCTGTAGACTGTAACATTCTGATATCTGTTCAAAATCCTAACCACGAGACTCAGCTTAAATAAAACCACCTACTTAAGTAAGTTATCGCATATAAATAAAGGCACTGGATTAAGATTGACAAACGTGTAAATATATTACTATATAAGGAACAAGTAATATCATTGGCATTAACAAATGTATACAATGTTTATATCTGATCGACGGCGTTTAGAATAGTTAAAGTAATGGATTCATTATGAAAACATGGGAGCAATGAATATGCGATATTATAAATTACTTCCGTGATCATTGATTATATTTTTAATTTGTTGTTCATTGCCCACAACTGAAACAGAAAACTTTTAGTCGACTCAACGTATTCCTCATTCTTATCATCGACCTTGGTTTGTATTTAGGAACTGGCCAATGTTTGTTGTTTGTTGTCTTCTATTCCACCTGCTGTTAAGTTGTGATATATTCTTTGATTCTTTGGCGGAGAACGTATTAGTTTATGACACTCGCTCGAGCTGCACGCATTATTGAAGGGCTAAATACGAAACGCAAATCACCTCTTTCAACCCTCAGAGTACACAGAAATAGCTAAGGTTACCGCAACGGGAACAGCAAACTTGACACGCAATGGGTATAAAACTATGACAAAACTATGAAACTGGACAAAACTATGACACTGATTCTATCGAATTCGAATACGAATCCTCGGATATTTTCCTTAAATCAACGATCTAGGCGTTGTGTATTACTGATCTAATTTGTATAGTAACAATACGTTACCTTAGACCCATTAATTTGTAATTACATAGGACGAGTATAGGTAAACAATCTATGATTGATCTTTTCAAACTGCTTTCTAATATTAAATAATTGCCTTATTCATTATTATACCTAAATTGAAACAAGACAATAAAGACGCTATCAATAACCTTAATTCCTAAATATACGTTCAGAAATGTTGAATTTTTATTCAACATTTCTGAAATTTTAATTAGTAACTTGACTTTTAAATCTACGCTTGGTCCACAATAATTGTGTATAATTATATCCGAAAATGTAGGAATAAAATGTTGTTAGATGTAAAATCCGCAATTGCATTAATGCAAATTTTTTCTATTTGTCTATGGAGGATAGTGCCAAGTGGTAAGGCGGTTAATTGTTAATTTGATCATAAACATCAGCACCACCAACACACAGTAGGCACCGCTTAGCTAACTCAAAAACGAAATGCAAAATCGTGAACACTTCTGCTTTACAGTTCTGTAAGGCCGTGGTACCTGAAACCCCTAGCGAGCCTCCTATGCAACAGCAAAACTGAGCAAAAGAGTGAATGACCAAAACTTAATGGAATAAAAAGAAAAGGAAAATTAGACGACTGCAGTGTGTACGGGCCCTTAATCACGTTTATCGCACACGGTGTTTAGTCTAATGTATTTAAATGGATTCAAACAGCAGTGCAATCTTGTGGCATTTTATCAGCACAAGCTTTTTTATGATGTTGCGAGGATATCTCTGTATTTGTAATACTGACATAAATCAGTATTCTTGTTTCTTCACTCTTTACATAAATATTTTTTGTAGCCCCTAACTTATTTCTACTAACAGTTTTACTATACTGCTGTGACGCCGCTGCCTAAAGCTAAGGGAGTTAGATTAGATAGATGACCATACTTGACATAAGACTTCTTCTTAACTTCGAATTATGATGCTGTATCTAGTTGCTCTTTATGGAGAAGAAAATGATATTGATTAACAAAAATTCCAAAGGCACAGCGCATGCTCGTTACTGTTTAGAATCAAAGGGAGGTCTTCAAAAGTTTCTGAATGCTTCTGCAGACCTCTTCAATTCACTAATCCGAACGATTGGTGTAAAACGCCGTGAAGCGAAAACGCCTACGACAAAGATATAGCAATCACTGCGTTCGTTATGACGGACTGTTTCTTAATATAATTTAACTTTCGTTACAAAAATGCAATTAAAAACGAAGCATTGCTATATATATCTTAAAAGCCTGCTTCGGGAAACTGTGGCTCATGCAGTTCTGGTGCCGGTATGTTAGTTGCTAATTTCCAAGGTTGCTAATTTTTTCAAATGTAAATTTTTTGTCAGTTGTTATTAATAGATAAAAATATTATGTGCTCATAATAAAATAAGTTTAACGAAATTATCTTCTGGTCCATCAATCCACTCTACGGTCTTATGTGTTTAAAACTAGTTATGTTTAAGGAATATAAATAAAACGATTCAACGTGAATAAAATTGAGTATCGAAAAAGTATTTGATAAATATGTGGGTTGCTTATTTGTCGTAAACGTAAATGATGTATGTCAGATTTAAGCAATATACGAAATTTAAAAAAATAACATTTTAAAAAAGCGTTGATGTTAAAAATATTTTTTTTTATGAAAACGGTAATTGGGCTGATTCTTGGGTTCTATAGACATATCAATCAAAAATCTTTATTGAAATAGACGCTTACACGTTCTTATGAATCGTCAAATTTTACATAAAAAATTATACATAGAGGTTCGTAAGGTACCAACCACAGTTTAATAGTACCATAGTTTAATGATATCTACTTAAACTTTGATGTTACTTTATTTGAATACCCTAAAATAAGCCGATGTACTCTTTATAACTTGAAATGACTCCGATTATTGATTGGACAATTCATTCTTAGTTTGCTTACATATAAGAAACTCCCAAGCGGGCTGGGCGAAGATTAAGCTTGACATATTCATTAAATTAAGGCTATTTCTTAATCGAAGGATAAAATTCATACCATTGAGTAATGACTAGGAAAGAAGAAACAACAAAAGTAACAATAAGAGCAATTGTTACTTAAGAAGAAATAGTTTAAAAATATTATGCACCCGGTAGCAATAAATATTTGGTTTAGATAGTAATGAGCTTGATTTTGCTTGAAAATTAACCCTGAATGAAGGCTTGTTTAGACGGAGCGCCTGAGCTCCATTGCAAAAGCTTCCACCACGTTTAACTGTGCAACAGTTTTTGATAACAGAGTTACTATTCAATTTTAAGGAGTTAACTGTTGGTCGAAGTCCAAGGTCCATTAGAAATGATCTTTCTGTCCTTTTGAAAATATCTCCTTTCCAATGAGGAAAGAGTTACAAATCTATTTCTAAATGCCGGGATTCGGGCATCACAAAAAATACTAAACAAAGGAAGGAAGACAGAATTACGGACCTAATTTTTTCAACCTCGACTTCGAAAAAGAGGTTTTACGAAGTCGGTTGAGAAACCGAACATAATCCAGAAGACAGAGTTAAAGGTAAAATTCATGCTTAGATATAGACGATATACAAAATCTTGTATCTTGTATTAACTGATGTTTTTGCTTTCAGTCCCGAGACTATTAAAGCTTCATCTGACGCAGAACCGGTGGACTAGTCAGAACCCACGGGTTAGGGCCCTCCGCTGTGGGTAGGGCCGCGCATGTGCTCATGCGTGCGTTTAACTACGACATGTCATCTAAGGGCCATCGAAGTTGCGGTGCGGACCGAGACCCCGATGGCCGTCGACTGTGTTTTTAGCTAATCGGTGGCTGGGGGCCGTGAGAACCGCCCTGAACGCGGGTGTACCTTGTGTACGCGTTGTGTTGGTCTCGCCGTGCTCGGAGGCGAAGGCGAACTAGTGTGTTTGTTGTTGCACTAACTGTGGGTGTAGTGTTGTCCGGCGGAACCCCCGGCGGTGGGTCCGGCGTATCTAAGTCCCCTTCCTCGACCAGGTCGATGAGGACGTTTCGCGGGCGACGCTTGTTGACGTTCGCGTTTTGGTCGGGTTGGTAATTTGCTGATATACAAAA